CCCCTATTGATGCAAACAGTAAGGTACTCTGCTTAATTTGGAGGGAGTTTATCCAAGTCTACAAAAGGGATTATATGCAAAAACATGTTGCCAAACTCACTGCAAGTTAAGAACTATATTATAAGGGCAAAATTAAAAAAAATGTAAAGAGAATTCTTTTCAAAAAATGTTAAGCTACAACTCAAATTCAATTGTAAAAACTAGTTATGTGGGAGCATATTTAGTACAAAAAGAATTAAAGCCATTTACAGTAGTTGACTCACATATAAAACTATGAAACAGAAGACTGAAGAACAACTTTTTTGTTGTTGTTTTTCAAGACAGGGTTTCTCTGTGTAGCCTTGGCTGGAACTCCATCTGTAGACCAGGCTGGCCTCAAACTCAGAGAGATCCGCCTGCCTCTTCATCCCAAGTGCTGGGATTAAAGGTGTATACCACCACGGCCCAACTGTAACAAAACATTTTGCCATTTTCTGAGCACGGCATCAAACAGAGACCAATCCTAGTCTAGGTTACTTTGGCATCTCTGTTGCACTAAGCTGGCCGAGACTTTCCAGTGGATAATCAATTTGTCCAAAGTCATATGAGACATTCCATGAAATGCACATGGTTGACACTCAGGTCTTCTGTTGGTCCAGCTTGCTTCTCATCACATCAAGTCCACTCAGATCACACTAGAGTGATGCATATTAATAACTTCATGTGTTACCTACCTTACTCTCCCACTCAGATTTATCTGAATATGCTGCTTAAAATCTGGATATTTGGATGCCAGATATGCAAAGTCCGGTGGCTTGTCCTTGTATCTATTTCTTGCATGCATCGACTTGCTTAGAGCCATCTTTAAAGAAAGAGGGAAGAGGGGATATGAGAGAGATATAGAAGATATCAGCATATTTAGTTTCAAAATCATTGGTGGGGACAGGAGTGAACACATGCCTATAATACCAGTACTTGAGAGGCAGAGGCAGGAGGATTAGAGTAAACTTGAGACCACTCTGGGCTACAATGTGAAACCCTACCTCTAAAACAAACATACACAGAAATAATAAAACAAGCCGGGCAGTGGTGGTGCACGCTTTTAATCCCAGCACTCGGGAGGCAGAGGCAGGAGGATCTCTGTGAGTTCAAGACCAGCCTGGAATACAAGAGCTAGTTCCAGGACAGCCTCCAAAGCCACAGAGAAACTCTGTCTCAAAAAACCAAATAATAATAATAAAAATAAATAAAACAAGTTTTAAGTCCAGCTACAACAGAGCCCTCAATAAACCTGCTCCCCTCCCCCACTGGGGGATACAGTGTGTATCATTTGAGCAGGGGCACAGCACACTGAAGGCCTTGAGTTCAGTCTACAGAATCACACACAATAGCAGAAACTCCTACACAGCTAGTCATGAATCCCTTATCCTCCTAAGTGCTGTGATTCCAGGGTGCACCACCACACTGAACTTGCTGCTACCCAATTGTCGTGGATTGCTCTCCACCTGGAATGTACATACACTGAACATATCCCCACCTTGTTAGGTGTTTGGTCAAATGTCACCTCACTAATATCTTTCCTGAGCTCCTCACTAAAACATTCGGTGACCAGAACACATACTTCACCATCTTTAGAATTTACTCACTTGACATTCTACACATGCTTGCTTCAACTGTTAATATTTTCCCTGCAAATAAAGTCCAAAAGGGAAAACATTTGTTCACTGAGGTACTCCAATCCTTAAAACAGGATCTGTAAGAATGGGTACTCAACTATGTATTGGCTGGGAGGAATATGAAGTCGCCTGGAGATGTAGAACACTTGCCTAGCACGTGCAAGGCACTGCGTTCAGCCATCAACACCATGAAGGGAATGACTATGAAATACTTTCCACCGTAAAAGCCACTGGTTTATAACACTCTCTGAATGGGCAGCCCAGTTGAGTTTCAACAACAAAAAAGGCTCATCTGAGTGAATCCAAAAAAAAAAAAACCCAAAGACCCTGAGGGCAGCCTCCTTTCCTCTAGCACTCCATGCTTCCTTGGTTCCCCTGGACCTTTATTTCTTCAGACACCATTTCTTCTAATGCCTGTAACAGCTCTGGGGGCTGTGGGTTCCCAGCACCCACACGGCGGCTCACAGTAACTCAGAACCACGGCAGCCGACGCTGTGCACGTGGCGC